TGATGTAATCTGCATCGCTCCCGGTCCCATAGTATGGAGGGGGGGTTGGTGAATGGAGGTTCACCCATCTCCCCCCCAGCTTCCCCCCCGACACCTAAGAAGCCGTTCCCAGGCCTGTGGGAGGGGCAGTGGAGCCCAGGAAACATGGCGGGGGTGTCGGGCTGGGGGGGGCAGCCCGTTTGCCAGCCCGGAGAAGCAATCGGGCAACAGCTGAGTCACCTGATCACTTCTATTGTAAACAGAGTCCCGGCATCTTTTTGAATTGGCCCGGTGACAGTGACGTACTATGGACGTTACTGGTCACTAAGGGGTTAAAAGAGAACTAAAGACAAACTTTGCTTTAGCTGTAGTCCTCTTATGGGCCACAGAAGGACATTTACTAATGTACTCCTGTGACCCAAAGTGCTAATTGCTGATAGTGCAGAGCCACGCTGCATCAGAGAACATCCTGACAATTGTGTTGGGATCCATCTTACTGCTTGATTGACAGCTGTCTCTGTCTAGAGCCAGAGACAGCTGTGCCCGCCCCCTCTACTGTCTCTCCTTCAGGGGGGCGGTGGCCCACAGTCACCACTTTCTACAGGGAGACAGTGAAGACAGTGACAGTGAAGACAGACTCTCCGAATAATTAAGATAACAATAAAATCAGATACAATAAAAAAAGCTTGTACTGCAATAATCATTTTCAATTCAGAGCTGCCCTCCATAGTACTTATTTTCTGTCTATATGCCCTTCAGTCTGATGGACAGAGTCATCCAATCCACTTAGCCCCATCCTGTGACTGGACAGGGAAAGCAGAAGCAGTAATGAGTGATGAGCTCATCTCGCTGTCAGTTTGCTTCCTCCTCCTATCAGCACAAGAAATGCTTGCCTCCTTGTGCTGCTTTTTCCCTTCTCCTCTCTGAGCTCTGCTGTAAAGTGGACTGCAAGAGGCAGAAACTAAGTCGAATTTGGGTACTTACACTGCGTGCATTTATATGCAAATACAATACATTTACTGATGTATTATCAGTCAATGATGCAATACAGGGCTCAAAATCTCCACTCGCATGCTCGCATTTGGTGAGTAAAATTAAAGTGAGTGGAAATTTGGGTCTCCAAGTACCGGTCCGTGAGGCGGTACTATGTGGTCCGCAGCCAGCTGTGTCGGATGCAGACAGCAGAGCAGCTCCTGTCAGCTCTGTCTTCCTTCAGCCGGAGCTCGGACAGTTCTGAGCTCAGGCTGAAAGAAAGGAAGTATGTGAGGAGGATCGATCCCTGGTTATCTGGGGGTGATTAGTGAGATCTGCAGCAGACCTCACTAATCACCTCCAGATAACCAGGGATCGATCCTGCTTACAGCCTCCTCCCTGCAAAGACGTGAACAGGTGAGGTGGTGAGGGGGGGTTGAGTGTATTATTATTTTGTGTGTGGGGGGTGTAACATTGAGAAGTGTATTATTGTGTTTTAAGCAGCCCATACACCTTGAGGGGAGGGCTTGCGATGATCACAGTGCTGAGCGAGTGTGCACTGGCCCATGCAGAATTCGTCTTCTGGCCACGCCACCAACCCGCCAAAAATCGTATGATTTCCGTCTGGTTTTCCAGCGTGCTTGGAAGACGAAAGTCGTACGACCTTACAGTAGAAGCGGTCACACGCTGCCCATACACCTGCCGATTATCGTACGATCGTGGGATCACTCGCGATTATTGTATGATAATCAGCAGGTGTATGGACACCTTTAGTGTATGTGTATATTAGGCCCCATTCACACCGACAGTATATTTCAGGTGTGATTAGAGATTCCTGTGTCAGGAACTTGCGTTTTCCTGCAGCAGGAATCCCTAATATGCCGTTTACAAGCATCTTATCATAAGATAAGAATTATAAGATTATTTAAGAGGGTGTGTTTAGGGGCGGAGCTAAGTCCGGGGCAGGGTAAGGGTTAGGTGGGGCAACTGGTGGCTAGTAACTCTTAAGGCCTGGCTAGTAGCTCAGGACTTGAAAATTTGAGCCCTGATGTAATATATGATTGCAAAGCTGCATTAATTCAGAGTCTCTATGGTGGGCTCTGCAGGGTCACCCTCAGGTTGGCTGGTAACACTCCTTACCTCTTCCTCCTCCGTCTTCCCTCCTCCGTCGCCGGGCACGATCCGTCTTCCGTCGCGGGGCCCGCCTCCTCCTCCGTCGTGGGGCCCACCTCCTCCTCAGTCACTGGCCCCGCCTCCTTCTCCTTCTCTGATGCTGACCCCCGGGCCAGGGTGTCCATGCTGACCCCAGTCCAACAACAAAAGTGCCTCCCAGCCATGTCCAGCCTCCTCCTTCACTGCCGCTGCTGACTCTCATTGACTCAGCAGCGGCTATGGAGAAGTAAGCAAGTCTGCACAGATCATGGTGATCTGAACAGCGGTGCGTTCGAACCCATATCGACCCAGGCGGCCCGCACGGCATCAGGGGGGTGTCCTGGCCGGGCACCCCTGTGCCTGGGCCCCATAGCGGCTGCCTGGGTCGCTATGGCTATTGTTACGCCACTGACACAGATGCAATATTAGAGGGTTTCCAATTCAAAAAATCCTGAGCAAAGGTGTAAGTTTGTAGATATGTAAAAAGATCGGTGTGTCATGTTCAAAACAATGCTTGTAGACACTTATCAATAAAGCCAGACTGAAGAGCACTGTAAACGCCAAGGGGAAAATTTGATAGCGTAATAGACATAATTAGGAGGGCACATTAATCAAACTCTGTTTACGCTCCATAAATCAAAGGCAAAATATGTTTTAGCTGGTACTATTGACATCCAGTGTCTTTGTATTATGGAGAGGAAAGTCTCTAACATATTTTGTGCCTTGACGCTATTCATTTGGAGAGCCAACCTTGGATCTAATCATTGCATGAATCACAAGCAGATCAAAAATGATCCCAGTCACTCCTTTCTATTTTCGTAGCGGTTGTCAGAGGAAATTGCATTCAGCGGAGAATTTGATTGATAAAATAGACTTTGGGGAATTAATCTCAGCCACGATACAACACTGTTTGCTTCTGTTGTGCAGAAAAAAAAGGACAATGATTAAAAATGGCACAAAGCATTGTGTAAACATATGATGCCTTTAACATGTTATTACTGTGAATTTAAAGTATTTTCAGCATTATTTAGTTTGCTGACAGCAAACATAACATAACATTATGACTAATGAGAGTTGAAGTGAATAACATTGATTATCGCGTTACAATGGCACCTGGAAGTGGGTGGGATATATTAGGCAGCAAGTGAACATTTTGTCCCTGACGTTGATGTGGTGAAAGCAGAAAAAATGGGCAAGCCTAAAGATTTGAGTGACTTTGACAAAGGCCAAATAGTGATGGCTAGTTGATGATGGGTCAGAGCAACTGCAAAACTGCAGCTCTTGTGGGATTTTTTAGGTTTGCAATAGACAGGACCTACCAAAGGTAATCCAAGGAAGAAAAACCGGTGAACCATCAACAGGGTCATGGGTGGTCAAGGCTCATTGATGCATGTGGGGAGCGAACTCTGGCTCGTGTAGTCCAATCCAATAGAAGATCTACTGTAGCTCAGATTGCTGAAAAAGCTAATGCTGGTTCCAATAGAAAGGTGTCTGAACACACCATGCATCAAAGTTTGTTGCATGTGGGACCAGTCAGGGTGTCCATGCTGACCCCAGTCCACCAACAAAAGTGCCTACAATGGGCACCTGAGCATCAGGAGTGAACTACAGTGCAATGGAAGAAGGTGACTTGGTCTGATGTATCATGTTTTCTCTTAAATCATGTGCTTGCTGACCTGGAGAAGAGATATGAGCAGGATGCACTATGGGAAGAAGGCAAGCTGGTGGAGGCTGTGTGATTGTGCTGATTCTACTAGGCTGCTTGAGACAACAGGATGCACTATGGGAAGAAGGCAAGCTGGTGGAGGCTGTGTGATTGTGCTGGTGTGCTGGTTCCAGTAGGCTGCTCAAATAAGCTGATGACAGATTTTATGCACACTCAACTCTATAACATCCAATTATAAATTGATTATTGAGTCCACATACACTGTTACACTGTTTTATTTTTCCCCCAGCTCTGATGAACATGGTAGAGGTACAGCCCCCGAAACACGTTTGCATAGCAAGCAATTTCACACAAAAAAACTTGTATTTGAATTTCAATAATACAGCGTGGTGTTTCAATTCCTCATTCACTCATCACTTTTACTTTATGACAGTGCTAAATATAGTGTGGCGCTGGGCCCCTACTGTCAATACAAACTAAGTTATGGCAGCATAAATTAAACTCCAATAATCACTGTCAGCAAGCAATGATCACCCAACAAAGCAAAGTTTAATCTCATTTCTGTTTTACACCAGAGAAAGAGTGTGCTACTTGATATTTTATAGCTGATGTGCAGATGAAAAAAATCATGATCATATGAATTATACATCCAAGCTATTCTATATATGACTGTCTTGAGAACTGTTTGAAGAAAAATGTCTTTAAACTGCCAGTCTAGTTTTCAGTTTGTATTGCATTATCGCAGCTTAAGTAAAAATAAGCATATGTCAAGAATCATTGATAAATGTTGTAAATAGCAACCCATAATGACATTTGCTATGCTAATATAATAGATCTGAAGCCAAAACAACTAATCAAACCAAAGTTGGTGCTTAATGCCAAAAAAACAAATTAAAAAACGCACTTCTTTCTGAAAACAATCACAGATGCATAATGAAAAGTGTCAGTAAAAGAGGGTAAATATCATCGCTACAAAATGATCTTATTTATTCCTCGAAGGTCTTTATCAGCTCCATCCCAAGTGAATTCCGCTTGCTCTGAAGATTTATGCAGAAGATGTGAAATGTTGGCTCTTTCCTTCCCTTCGGTTTAACTTCAGATACTTAGCAGCTAATACAATTCTATTAGCAAGTTAAAAAGGGTAAAACAGGCCTTGTTTTATTTAAATGTATGCAGTGCCTGCGCCAATCAAACGGCTTAACTTTTTCTTCTGGTCTTCTTTTGACTTTAGGTACCAACAGTCAGATCTCCAGAGTGCCCGTTTCAATTAAGGTTCTTGATGTTAACGACAATGCCCCTGAGTTTGCAACAGACTATGAAGCATTTCTTTGTGAGAATGGGAAACCTGGACAGGTAAGATTGACAGTAGCTCTGCAGAGTCCATTCTGTTTCTTTCTTTGCAGTATTTTGCACTTCTTCATAATATATTTTGCTTAGGCTCCTTCCCTTCTGTATTAATAATGAAGACTTCTAAATCTGAACTCCATACAAACAGCTAAATAATCAGATGGAACACTTATATGGGAGCTATTTACTTGCCAAAGATCTTATTAGTGTCTATTTGATTCTGAGATGTACACATCCATAGCCCCACAGCAGAGCCCTGTCTGAGAGGGCTGGAGACCTGATTTTTCTCTGCTTGGATTACAGGTCTTGTCCTTCCCCTAGGCTGTGACTGGACAGAGACTGAGCAGTGAAAGAGAAAGCAGCAGACTGATGAGCTTATCTCTCTGTTAATCTGATCTCTCCATCGATCAGCATGTTGCGTGTTAGCACATGAGCACTGCAGCACAAGCAATTGGCTCCCTGTAAACCTCTCCCAGTCTGAGCTCTGCAGTGTAGGGCAGTGCAAGAGGTCAACTGCAGGCATTTTCTTGCATGTAAGAAATACATTGAATGATGCAGAGCTGCATTCATTTGTCTCATTTGTCTCATTTGTCTGTGGTGGACCTAATAACCAAAGGGCCCTGGTGCAAGATTTTATCTTGGGTCCTCCTCCCAAGACCGGGCGGGGGGGCGCGGGAGCGGATCACACTGGCCCCAGCCCCCCCTCCCCCCAGTGGTCTCTAATGTTGCAGTAGCGTGCTGGATTAACCTGAGACCCTGCATAGCCCACCTGAGACTCTCTATGGTGGGCTCTGCAGGGTCCCAGGTGGGCTGGTCTGGTCATCGGGATCCCTTTCCCTGTACCTCCTCCCAACTCTTCTTACCGCCCCGGTACAGTTGATACCTATGTAAGAGACCCCCCAGGCTGTCCAGACCCCTCACATGGGTACTGGCCAATAGTTGATCGGTCCTGAAATGTCACTTCTCTCCGACTGCGATATCACATTCCACCGCACTCACAATGTCGGATAGAAGTGACATTTCAGGACCAATCAGTTGTTCCAGGGCAGATCGGTTCTCCTGCACATGCGATTTGCAATGCCGATCTGCCCTGGAACAGCGGAGAAAGCGTTGGAATGCTTCACCTATTCCATTGCTAAAAAACTGGGCGAGATTACGTTAAAATGTAATATTCCCCATTATAATTCACTTGTCTAATTACATGAAATAGCAGTACACAGCCCTCCCCCCCGCCGCTGGGACCCACCCAGCCAGAGGCTCGCAGCAGCAGGTAGTTCCGACACTGCTGCAGCTACAACTATTTCCAGTGCTCATCAGAAAACATACTTACTGGACAGTTGAGGCCCATACAGAGGTAAATAGTTGAAGAACGTCACCAGCACAACACAGCGATAGTTACAACAGTTTAAGTGTTAATTTATTGTAGAATGCTGTTCCTCAATTGCTTTAGTGTGCTGGTGAAGTTCAATAAATTAACACTTAAACTGCTGTAACTATCGCTTTGGTGTGCTGGTGACGTTCTTCAACTATCTGCATGTGGCGGCGCCATCCGCAGTCATTCCGAGCACCCGCTGGTAAATCCACATAGGAATCTCGGTAAGGTGTACAGCAAGGATCCTTTCTCCAATACAGAGGTAGGTCTGATAGTGTCAATTGACCTGTGTTGGTCACGACTATTCAGCAAGTACGTTTTCTGATGGGCATTTTAAAAATATATAACTAATAAAGGCACAGCTGTGGTGTTTTGAATAGAGCTCAGTAATCAGTGTAGTAGCTGTGGCCAGAGGGCAAAGTGAGAGATACAGAGAATGTGCCGGGGATCATACTGGCTATGTTGTTTTTTATATCTGTTTAGGGTTTAGCTTTAATTATTGTGAACATTATAGTCAAGGTCGAGTATGCTGTTTGCTTCATATGATCATATAATGTTTATAAAGCATTTCCCACTGAACAGTACAATGTCTCCATCCAAAAATACCCAGAGAAAGACTGGCATGCCATATGTTACTTGAACTAGTGTGGAATACTGCACAGTCTCATTTGTGTATCCAAATCCTAAACTGGTTGTGAGCAATGCCTTCTGTGTGTTGGATTATTAATTGAGTACCCACTGATGTATATACATTAGCTATTTAATGGAAAAACAGATCCACGGGTACTATAGTCAAGTGCAAGTCTCTAATGTAGAGTCTTGGCTAGAATCTCATCTTTACCTGAATTTTCCTGCTGGATTTACTTACAAGTGTCCAGAGGCAAAAAATAAGTCAAGAATTAAGAAAAGTAAATAAACATAAATGGCAGATGCCATGTTGCCCCCCTCTTGTTCTGCAGGTCTGGCACAGACCCTAAGGTACATTTCAGTAAAGGTAGGACAATACTTATGAAACGGTTCAGCCTTTAGGCTAGCTTCGCATCGGTGCACTGTGGAAATGCATGGTAAAATGCATGTTCTAACACACACAGTAATGCAAGTTAATTTTAAATATCACATTCATCTATTGCACATGTGTTGCAGCATGCAACATAGCACAGATGGAAATTATCTTTACGTTGTGATGTGGTGTATTTAAAAATGGTGGTAGTCTGCATTAGGTGTGTTGTGCTGCATTGGCAGTCTATTCATGACCTGTGAAAAAAATGGTACCTGAATACACTGCACATGTCTATATTGTAAAGTGTTGTGCAAAATGTTGGTGCTATGTAAATCCTGAATAATAATAATAATAAATAATAATAATATGCACTAAGGGGCCTAAATACTACCAAATGCCGAGGAACATAATTAATGTAGATACAGTAGATGGATAGATTGTGGAGACCCAACTATCACAGCTATATGAGCTTGTTGGCCATCCCATTTCAAAACCATGGACATTTGCAAATGCCCCCCGCCGTCGCAAGCACAATAGAACACAACACCAGCTCCATAAAGACGTGGTTTGATGAGCTTGGTGTGGAGGAACTCACCAGGTATCTGTGTCACACCCTTGACTACAAGTGCGGTGCATAGGCAGCCATCTTAGGGTGCGCACGCCCAAGGGTCGCAACAATTCACATTTGCCTGTGTATGCAAAAATCCTTGCAACGGCCCTGGCTGTATCACAGAAAGACTCCTAGAAATTATTTTTATTATCCTTGCAGTGGGGCTACCCCGCTCTACAAGGGTTACGTGCTCATTTGTGTCCAGGGGCTAAAATAACCTAGATATACTCACCTGAAACTCTGAGCCAGCCAATTGTCACGGCGCTCCTTCCAGCTGTCTCCTTCTCTGCAGCATATTGGAATGTTCCTCAGTGTCCTCATGTCTATGCACAGTGTAAAGACGTGATGATTTACAGGACCTCAGACCGCTGCAGAGGAGGAGAAGAGACATTCCAGGGACCGGTCTTAGAAGAAGCCATCTTGGAGCTTTGGATGAGTATATGTTTTTTTTTTACCTAGACACAAATGAGCAGTTAAGTCTAACAGTGCAAGGGTAGCCTCGCTAAAAGTGTTAATAAAATAAAATCCTGGAGTTCTTCTTAAAACTTTTTTAAAAATACCTAAAAGACACTGCACACACAAAAAATACATTCAGCATGTTGGAGAGTCTCTTGACCCATTCTTTTACACATCTAGCTAAGCTACAATTGACATTTAAGGAGCCATGGCTGTGTCCTGCCATTTATTTTCTCCATTTAGAGGTCTCATTGTATTCTTCATTGAAATTCAGTTGAGGGAAGAAACATTCCATGTTAACTAGTATCAAATAGAATTTGCCAAGAGAAAAATCAATGGATTCTTAGGTAAAGATGATGCTTTTAAAGGCCATAGAATGTTTCATATATGAGCTTTCAGGCTACCTGCACTGCACAGAACACACAAGTGCTCCTAATAGCTTATTTAACCTGTTCAATGACAATCAGACTGAAGGTACTTGTAGATTTATTCAGGAAAGCAGTGCAAAGAGGAATAGTGATGCGCCAAAGACAGTAACTCATAGCAATCTATCATAAACATTTTAAAGGAAAAACAAAAAGGGTCCATTACTGGTTTAAAAATTTACATTTACACATAAACATTTAAAACAAGGCACTTCCAGGTCAAGTTGTTAGAGGAAATTGCTGGGCTTTGAATTCGGAAACTGTATCTCTGCCTGGTAACATGTTGACTATCTCTATTGTATTATTAATTTGCATGTGTACCTACTGAGAATAAATCTTTATAACAAAATACCAAATAAGAAGACTATTCACATTATATAGTAGTAATAAACCAGCATGATGAAAAACAGTGGCACTGGCTTGAATATGACAGCTGCCTGATACAAATGTTTATTTTTAGCCGTGAACATATTATATTAAAATGGTCAATAGAGTCCCTTTAAAAGTAGACCATCAGTTAAGATAAAAATTAGTACAGGTATGATTTCAGTGTTATATGTAATCTCTTTGTGTTGAGACTTTAAGTAAACCTATGCCAAAAATCCCTTCAAGTGCTTGTTCCTAGTTGTATCAACTAGCGAGAATGGGTTAAACATGAAGTCAAAGTGCATATTGTGTAGTAGGTAGCAATGTCTGTGGATGTTGAAGACTTGCTGGAATAGGACCATTTTGCCTTGCTGTAAGGTGACTAACTTAGTAAATTGGGAAGTTATGAGACCTAAAAGGATAATTAAGTTTATTGTGATTATAAACTCATTTAAAGTGACACTCAGCTCAGGAGTTAAATCTTAAAAATGTATTCAAGTACCTTGAGCATTGATAAAATGTTGCTTATTTGTGCATCAGACAGCTGTAGCTCGTCAAATCATCTCTGAATTGGTGCTGACACTGTCCTTCCTTCTGGAGGGTGGCACTCCAAGCTCACTACCATGATGGACCACAATTTCACATCTCATTTACTAATTTGTATTGAGATTGTAGTCCATCACGGGAGCAAGCATGGAGCGATGGCTACTATACAACACACACAGGGACTATGAGGAACGTATAATGTATATCTGTTTGGTACAAAAAAAAATGCAGATGCTGTCCAAAATCCAATGTTGTCCTGTGCCCTAACACACTTCCTGTCCAAACGTAACAACACTGCTCCCTCAAGGATACAGTACAGTGAGTGAGCGTTGTCACCCTAACACAGGAAGTGTGTTACTGGCAGGATAACTAGGTGAAAATAAAGAAAAAAAATGCTTGAAACAATAAAAAATATACAGCCACATCTAAGGACTGGTGTAATCCTTCTATACTTTGATTGTTTTTATAGTACCAGAGTGCCAATGCTCTGCTATTCTAGTGGCTCATCAACATACAGTTAGTGAGTGAATTTGTCTCTTTCCTCAATCACAGTCAAATCCTGATCTGGTCAAACCTGTTTGCTTATCTTAAGTCAGTATCAACAATATATCTGTGCATGGCAAGCATATTGCAGCAAAAAAAGGCAGAGTATCAATTACCCTGCCAATAATTGGGTCAGCCTAGATTCAGTCCATGCATCTTTATTTAGCAGATCCATACATCTCGTTCCATCCATTTACCTTCCTTTCATACACCATCAACAGTATGCGTCCTGGGAACACAGTCTATGTGACTGTAATAATTAGTAGCCAATTATCAGAAGACATTACAAGCTGAGAGAAAAATGGCAATTCATTGTGCAGTGTTTTTTTTATTTTCGTTAACTCCAGCTTGTCCTTCCATTCACTTCTTTCCCTCTCCCTGTGGTTAAAATCTTTTAAAGCCTGAAGATGGCAAAGCCGATTGACATCCTCCATCAGTGAACGAATTTTGAGAGCTGATACATTTTTTATGAAGAATGTTGGTTGTAGTGCATTTTAGTATATTGACGTAATGGGGTTTTATTGTTGAGTTACGGAGCTTTCAAAATACCCCTAGGCCTCTACTGCATGTGGTCTACCTAGAACACAAAGGAGCGACCCTATGGGAGTTTGAAAGGGTTGTAATTCACTGACAGAGGTCTAATGCACATCCGTTAAGAGGTATGTGCTTGACCGCTGCAAGGATCCACGAGGCAATGCTATGTGCACTCTTAAAAACCTTGCTCTTTTCCTAGAAGTATAAACACATCAGTCTGGTAGATAGCAGCTGGTGCTTGAATACATCTACTGACATTATTGTGCAGAGTAAATTTAAAGTATAGCTCAAAGCAAATGGATGAAAATTTCTAAAATCTGTATGGTTATCCCTGAACAATTGTACATATTAAAACTCAACTCTGCACGTTTTTAAGCAGTTACATGAAATTACAAACTCTGCTAGTTTTTATAGCTTGGTCATCATTAAGATTTCCCTTCATTCCCTGTCCTGGTGATTCCCTGTGTTAGGGTATAAAGGGACAAGAAGTGAGGGGAGGTCCTTTTCTCTAGCCAAACCTTGCAAAGCCTGTTACAGTTAGGATTTGACCAAAACCTTGCTATATTATCATCATGTTATCTTACATATATTATATTTTTGATCATCTTTTGCCCACCAGTGATATTTCAGACAGAAAGGGCACATTACCATTGGTTGATAGTAATGTTATCTCCAGCAATGGGGGAATTATATTAACTAGGGATGCATACAAATTTTGGCCGCCGAAACATATCAGCCGAAAGTGGTACTTTTGGCAAAATGCCGAAAGTGCCATCTTTCAGCCCAATTTGTGGTGCATCCATTGTTTCTCTCCTCCCCCTGGGCACTGTTCGGTGTCCCCTCTGACATAGCACAGCATCCAGCGTGGAGGAGACAAACTGTCAGGAGCCAAGAGGAGCGTTGAGGGGAGCGCTCTGGGCATGTCACAGGAGGCTGAGCTCTCCTCCTGCACCGCCCTGCTCAGCCTCCTGCACAGATCAGGAGAGTGGTGTGTGGGTGGACACAGCTGTCACTGGAGACTGAGCTGCAGTGAAGGGGAGGAGTCATCTGTCAAATGAGACTGAGCTCTCCTCCCGCACCACCGGGAGGGCTGTGACAGCGAGTCAGGATGGAGAGCGATATACAAACATTCAGCGATCAGATGCTGCCTCCCCAGGACCTGGACTTCAGATGCTTACCAAAGGAGATTTTAGTTGAAACATTAAAGCACAAAGGATAATGGAGCACCAATGTCAATAGGATGATCAGGTATAATAGGTATAATCAATATATATTGATTAACATTTTTTTTATTATTTAAGTTTCATTTTAAATAGATGAGGGATTCTTTAGAAACATATATACACTGGTAATGAACATATTCTTATACAAAATAGATGATATTTCATGGTCCATATCAGGAGTACATGGTGAACACTGGATTTTATAAATGGGTACATAATGAATTAAATTATAAACACAACCTTAATTTACTATGGTATTTTATGCTGCTCTTTCAAAATCCCCTTGCTAAGCTTATGGTTCTTATTTAATTACAGATTATTCAAACAGTCAGTGCTATAGACAAAGACGATCCAAGAAACGGCCACTACTTTTTCTACAGTCTTCTCCCAGAAATGGCCAATAACCCAAATTTTACCATCAAAAATAATGAAGGTAATTTTACTGTGCAAACTCAATTTTTCTAAAGAGCAATGGAATGTACAATTCTTATGATGTTTTTTTTGTCTTTTTTTTAATTGTGCAAAGTGTATGAGCAAAGATTGCAAGAGAGATTATGACAAGATTAAATGTGGTTAAATTACTAAAGGCAAAATAGTTGTTTACATGGAAAGGAAATTTTCCCTTTGCCAGGGACTGTTCCCTTAACTTAGTAAATACAGTGCAAAGTCACTTTGCAGAGGATACACAATTGCATGCAAGGAACATTAAAACAATATTTTTGCATGCACATGATTGGATGATGGAACTTAGCTGAGCTTTATTTCACTCACTATGGTAAAGCAAAATTATCTTGCAAACTGAACAGCCTATTTGCCTTAAATAAATCAACCCCCTCTGAATTATTTGCAAATCTGTGTAGTCTATCTGTTTTAAAAGCCTTCATAGCAACCAAGCAGGTGAAAATGTCCAGTCTTTAACCCAGAAAAGTGAATGGTTACTATAGGCAAAACCATACCACACAGCTTCAAGTGTATAGATTTAGTGTACGGTATATGTGTCTAGAAAAGGCACATAAAAGCTAGATAAGTTGTTGGCAGATGCGCAAGAGTTTTTGTTAGATGGAATTGCTATTGTTTCTACATTTAATATACTGTGTATATATATATATATTTATATACTGAACCAGCGACATAACTAGAAATCACAGGGCCCCATATCACAATTTTGTATGGGCCCCCCCCAAACCACCCCCAACTTACCACCCCACAAACAAATACCAAACTCCAGAACATGTTCCTGTGGCTGCACACTCTGTCTCCTCTTGAGCTCTGCTCCTGCCTGCTCTGATGTCAGACACAAAGAGGAGATCATTCCGCCGCTCACTGTGGCAGAGCCTACCATAGACCCCGCACAGCCCACCAGAGACCCTGCAGAGCCCACTGTAAACCCTACACAGCCCACATGAGAGTGACCCTGCAGAGCCCACCTGAGACCCTGCAGAGACCATCATAGACCCTATAGAACCCACCAGAGACCCTGCATAGCCCACCCGAGAACCCTGCAGAGAACACCTGAGACCCTGCACAGCCCACCATAGACCCCACAAAGCACACCTAAGACCCCGCACATACCAGAAACGTTACACAGCCCACCTGAGAGTGGCCCTGCAGAGCCCACCATAGACCCCACAGAGCCTACTTGAGACCACGCCCAGCCCACCTGGCACCCTGCAGAGCCCATCTGAGAGTGACCCTGCAGAGCCCACCATAGATCCTGCACAGCCCACCTGTGCAGGATCTATGCTCATGCAGCTTACACATTCTTGAGTTCCTCTTCAAATTATTTATAGTGTTTTGTTTTTTTATGTTTTCTTTATCATGTTTAGTACTACAAATTACAATTAAAAAAAACATTGTCAATAATAAGTCATTCAGTAAATAAGAAAAACTTAATTTGAATATTTAACATATACAATTTCCACCTAGCAACCAGAACTCCAGCTTCCTGTTTACATGTCCACCTAACTAATCTTACCTGTTTTAATGAAAATGCCTGGGAGAGGGACAGTGTGAAAGAAAACATATACTGCTGTGCTCTGTCTTTGGAAAATCCACAATGCTTTGCAAATCCCATGTCTGGGTGGACTCTGTATTTTTTTTATCAAATAAGGATTTTTAAAAATGGTAGTAGTATATTCTGCTTATATAACAGTTCAATTAATTTTAAAATGTATATGTTAAAAAAGAGAAAATTGACACAAAATCATTACATTTTTTTAGGAACTACATAGTAAAATGTAATTTGTTAGCCTCGGAACAAATATCTTACCAGATCACAACATTGTTTGTGATGTGCAAATCTGCAATCGAATATCTATAGTATTAGTGACCAGATCTGCTAGACAAGGATGGGTAGCTACTGTATATTATGAAAGGTCATCGCAAAGTTTTAGAGGGCTCATAGCATTGTCTAAAGTTCATTAAATTCTTCATTGTTCAATAGAAACAGGTTGGTAATTATATAGACAATTATCTAAAGTTCAGATTTTTCAAGACAAAAAGTCAAAGAGTGGCTTTCACCCTAACATTAAGCTTTAAACAATTAGCTTTAATAATGCACCGCCATGCTAATTGCCTTAATAGCAACTTTAGCACAATGCCAGCATTCCTGTGAATGGAATTAAAGCATATGAAATAAAATCCATCTGTTATATGTATAATTTACATTCGACATATTAACATTTACATTGGAAGAGGCTGGAAAGTACTTTACATCTGATTACTTTCTTTCTCTATGAGAGTTATTCTCGTTATAGCGTAATGGCCTTAAAACTGCATTACAGCACTTAATTTGCTTTTCATAATCGAACACAAATGTTAAAACTTGCAACTTATACTGTAAGCAATTTACTTATCAGTGAAATTAGAAATATAGATGCTGAATGTCCTTGAACTGCCAGACAGAAGAACTATAAAACGTTGTCTATGCTTGTCATTGCTTTTGTTTATGCCTTCAGGCCCATTCAAATATAGCCACTGCATTGCAGTCCGTTAATGTGCGTTGCATTAAGACAGCCCAGTAATTTGAATGGGCCTCCCACACACTGAAAATTAGACCTGCAATAATTTTTCCAACATCTTACCATGCATTGTGACGCATGATCATAGGTTTAGAGCAGCTATTCTTAACAAGGGTTGCATGCAATTCTAGGGTTCCTCCAGAGGTCGCTAGGGGTTCCTTGAGCTGTGGTTGATTGATTTCCCATCTGATGGTGCCTGCATATAAATGGGTCCACCACCACTTGGCAGATCTTTTTAGCTCTCTGTAAAGGTGGAATTCTGACCATTAATGTAAGGAGGGTTTTCTTTCCACTGACCACCATTGTAAGAGGCATTTTCCCCACTTACCACCAATGTAAGAGATAGTCTTCCCACTAACCCCTGATGAATTTATTTTAGCAGGGGTTCCCCAAGACCTGAAAACTTCATTGGCTCCTCTGGGGTAAAAGGATGATAAAGACTGGAATAGATGATTGGGATGTGATACTAAATAAACATACATGGTTGTAATGTGCGTTTAAATGAGCATTACTGCAATTCAACAATCTAAATGGGGCCTTAAAAAAAATGGGAAGTAGTGAAGGGTAAGAATCTCTGTCATGTTTTTATTGCTGCCTGTTTCCCGGTTAATAAGAATTCCCATCCTATTTTGTGTACTACGGTAGGGGGACAATTTGTCAGGGCACTACTGACAGCTTTTTGCTAAATGTGTATGGCTACCAATATTCTCATCTTGCACATGGTTCTGAATGTAAACCCGTGAAAATATAGGCCAAGTACAAGAAGTGTTCTCTGTAGTTAGATTGTGGTTGCTTAGCAAGGAGTCATGTGACAAGGGGTTAAAGCCCTGTACAAATAACTGTGGAATCTGGCTTCAGGGAAATTATATGAATCTCATAGTAAAGGTACATTTGGTGAGCATTGTGTCTTTAACACAAATGAAAAACAAAAGGGACGTTGTGTCTTTAACACAAATGAAAAACAAAAGGGACGTTGCTCGGATCATAAGTGTAGTTACAATATGGCAGCAGATCAAAGAAGAACAGTGGTGCAAGCTGCAGCAACATGTAGATATGGTTGAAATGTGAGTGTGATTAAGGGGCCTGGCTAGATAGCAATATACCCTTCACTTCAATACTGTAAAAATAATACTGAGCTGCAAACAGCACCCCATGTCAGCCATGTCCCCTCCCCCCTATTCATGGACTGCATTTATCATCACCCATGCCTCTACCTCTTCACATAGAACACCCCATGGCAGCCATACCCTCCCTATTCATACAACTTAATGATGTAAGGGCACCATTAATATTATCCCTGCCCATGGTGCTGGGTCAAGAGCAGCATAATGTAGTGCCACTATGTCACATGCCCGTCCGTCTTCATAGAATGATTCAGGCAGACATTATCACTAGGATATGTAGGAAGGGACCAAGGAGGTGACACTGTGTGCAATCAAAACAGAACAATTACAAAATAACATGGTGGTCATATACCAGAAACCTAGATTTTCAGTAGATCTAGTGACACCCTGGATGCGTTTTTTTTACTTATAGCAGTAGCAATTCTCTGGGTATATTTGTTTGTCTGTTGATTCTATTAAAAAAGCAGCTTGCTGCATTATCGTAAGCTTTTTCACCCTAGGCTGAACCTTCTGGGGGCTTTAAGGAAATAAAAGACCTGTTGAAGACCTTTGTTATAACTAGATACCACTCTGAAACTGCTGTAAAAATGGACTACCAAAAGTGAAGGTCGCGTTCAACAGAAAAGGCTCCAGTTGGCCAAAAAACACAAAACGAATATGTTCCACTAGGCCATTAAATATATAAACATTTTTTCCTCTTAAACCATCTCATCATCAGTTTATGAAACAGTGATTTGTCTCTTAGGATCGCTGTATCCTCAGCAATCAACGGACAGTAAACTGCTAGAGAGAAGTGAAGCAAAACAGCGGCAGTAAATCTACAGAGTGAGATGCAGCAGAAATTTATGGCGCAAATCATTCTGTAAATCGGCAATGCATTCAAATGATGGTCTGATGACAAACTCCTTCATTTTTTTTCAGTTTATTTTGGGGAAAGCAAATTTTTACTTGTGCTAATTAGGCCATAAGTAAAATTTTGGTTATTGGAAGGGGTTCTCAAGAAGCCTAACCTAGATTAAAGAGATGCTATTATCCAAATAATCAAAATCTGTAAAATATACATTATACAAACATTATACTATGTTCTTTAGGGTAAGGACCTCTGTCAGATCTATATTGCCCTCTGTGTCTCTACTTTGTCCTGATGACTCAGGATTAAAACAGAAACATTCTAAGTGGAATAGTTGTTTTAGTGACAGCTATGTAAGAGAGGATTCCCCTTACTTTAAAGGGATCTCTCACTTCTTGTTAGACAGGAAGTAAAGGAATCATACCCAATACCCACGCCC